CATCCTCCTGCCTCCTCCTTCCCCTCCTCCTCCTCCTCCTCCCCTCCTTCTGACTCTGCTCAAACTCCTCCTCCTCCCCTCCTCCTTCCTCCTGCAACTGCCTCTCCTACCTGCCTCCTCCTCCTCCTCCTCCTCCTCCTCTTCCTGGCACCCGTTCGGGGCGATCTTGGGCACCCGTTCGGGGCGCTCTCGGCGAGGCGCAGCTGCTGGAGAGCGATCCCCCGAGGCTGGCAGACCGCCGAGAACCGGTGACATCGCCAGAGAAAGGCCCGGGCCTCGAACCTGTCGTCCCTCCAGAGGCGAGGCGGGGGTTGATCCTGGGGGTTCGATCTTCGGAACCTCGGCACCCAGACCCCCTCGAGTAATGAAAAAATCATGACGGGATGTTTTTCCTAATTTTCGGCCTCCGGGGGCCCTCACCGGGCCTCGGGAGCGTCAAAAACCGACTCAGGATGCAAAGCCGGTCATGGGTAAAGGGTCCAGACCTCTGGGGGTCGACGTAGTGAAAAAATCATTACGTCGGGGGTCTGGGCAGGCGGGAGGCATGTCGATCTATCTTTTTGCAGGCAAGGCTGGACGGGAAACCGGCTGTGCAGACGGAATAGAATTCAGAGCATGCAGGGTCGCCTCCGCAAGCCTGGGCTTGGCCGAGGCTACCTGCCGCCATCAGCCGAGCCGCCCGCCGAGCATCTCCCCCTGAGCCAATCCCCCCTTAAAGTTCCCACTGACCATTCGTTTGCTCAGGTGCTGCGGGGGGCTCGGCCGGCCTCGGAGGCACACACCGTGCGCGAGCGGGTGGTGCGCACCGAGGAGAGGCGCCGCGAACGAGCATCGCGCGGGCACCCAGGGCACGGAGGCCGGGAGCAAGGGTCTCCCCCCTTTTCCTCCTCCTCCTCCTCCTCTCTCTCCTCCTCCTTCTCCTCCTCCTCCTCCTCTTCCTCCTCCTCTTCCTCCTCCTCCTCCTCCTCAATTCTTTTTCATTGTGAATGTCTCATCCCTGTCGCACCCCGAGGGCAGTCGGAAGGGCGGGCTGGGCGTTTCGCCTGAGACTTCCTCACCATTTATGAGCCTCAAGGTTGTCACATTGCAACAGCTTCGCAGATGGAGGGCGGGTGGTTTTCAACATTGGATTGAAGGCGGGTGGTTTCCAACATGCGCCGCGCACATTCGTTTCAAACATGTGTAAGTGATTCACGGATTGAGGGCAGGTGCTTTTCAAAATGTGGCTCTCGCCTTCGCGCCGCCCACATTGGTTTTCAAACATTGCAAGAGCTTTGCGAATTGAGGGCGGCTGCTTTTCAACATGTTTCTCTCGCCTTAGCGCCTCGCGCATTCGCTTTGAACATTTGCAAGAGTTTCACTGGTTATTACGGTTAACGTACTGGAACCGACGTTTGGAACAATTCAGGATAGTCTGGCCCCAACAGTTACTATGTTTCGCGGCAAGAGTCAGGATAACTCGTGGCGTTGGAAACCTGAAACACACACGGTTGTCCCCCAGCGGGGCAATTCCCTCAGTGGCAACGCAGCCTTGTATTGTCCTATGGAGAAGGAGCTTGGAGGGAGGGTGTATTCCAACATCCTTCATGAGTCTTGGGCTTACACTGGTCCTCCTCCTCCTCTTCTTCTTCCTCCTCCACCTCCTGCTCCGCCTCCCCATCCCCCTCCTCCTCCTCCTCCTCCTCCTCCTCCTCCTCCTCCTCCTCCTCCTCCCCCTCCTCCCCCTTCTCCTCCCCTCATCCTCCCCCTCCCCCTCCTCGTCCTCGCCTCCTCCTTCCGCCTCCTCGTCCTCCTCCTCATCCACCTTCTCCCCCTTCTCCGGACGCAAGCTTATGCAGTGTCGTAGGCATTTGGCGGCAGTGTTCAGTGCAGGTAGCAAGGGTGCTTGTGTGACGTCGCTGCTTTCGATTCGCGAAGGGTTTCGTGATCCTGGTGTTGTATTACCGTCTGAAGTTCTATCTTTGTGGCTGCATCAATGGTTTGGGCATCCCCATATTCGTCCGTCTATCCATCGAGCATGACCTAAGATGTTGGAAAGGCTGTTGGCGATGCCCCCGAATAGGCGATCTCGGTGGGCTAAGGGACCAATGTCGGCAACTATTATTACCTTGCTTGAGAGAGGGTGGTTCCCTGAGACTCCTACGAGGTGGAGGCTGTCTGCTGCCTGATGATGTTTCGGGGGAGTTCCCCGAGGATAAGCATCACGACCACATGGCGTTGAACAACCTCAGTGGGTTCTTTGCTGATTTTCATGTTACTGCCTAGCGCGAAGATTGGAAGACCGCAGCCAATCATTTCTGTGGGGCTCAATTTTCTTTGCAGCTCATCTTGAAGTATCTTGAGGCCTTACCCAAGGGTCGAAGGCTCGCCGAGGCAATGGTCACCATTGCAGCGGGAGGGGCCTGGCCTCGCAAACGACGTGCCGCATTTGCGTCCAAGGTTGCTGTTTCCCCTGTGTGTATTCGGTGCAAGCAAGAGGTGGAGATCCCACTTCACCGCAGTTGGACATGCTCACAGAACAAGGAGGCGGAAGCGTACGCTCGTTCTGAGGAGTTGATGCCCCTTGCGATCGCCCAGCACGAGATGTATGCTGCGTGTTGGCTCAGGGGTGTCATTCCCAGGGCGTGGACTGCGATGCCTCCTCCCGCGGAGGTGGAGGATTGGGAAGTCTGGGGTGAGATCGGAGCCAGTAACGACGGGGTCCTCCACGGTGTCTTGGGCCCAAGGTCCCCTTCTGCTCCCGTGGTGCTATTCGGAGATGCTAGCGGGGGGCCCGACTCGCGCGAGGCCCGTCTCAGACGCGTAGGATGCGGTTTGATTCGGGTGAAGTCGGAGTTCGATGACACATTGACCTCTGTGTTGATGGGGCCCCTGGTGGGTCGCAATCAGTCTGTGCCTCGAGGCGAATTACGTATGCTGCTGATGGCGCTGGAGGTCAAAGTTGATCATGTTGTGTGTGCGACCGATAATCTGAATGTGCATTCGGGATGGCACATTCGTGACTATTTGTGCCCTCGAAGCGGAGAGCTGGCTGACTTGTGGGCGTCGGTCGGCGAGCAGATGCGGGGCAGGGATCCAGGTCATGTTGCTTTGTTACTTGTGAACTCGCACGAGACTGAGGGGGAGCTCGTTGAGGCTGGAACCCCCAGTTGGCTGGTGCAGGGTGCTGCCACGGCGGGTGTCGTGGCGGGGGAGGCGGCCGCCGGGGCGAGAGCCAGTGGAGCGGAGAGGGGTCGGCTTGCTGGGGCTGAGGAGCAGGCTTCCAGAGCGAGGAGGCGTCTGCTGAGGGCCCACGTCGACGCGCTCGAGGCCGGGGGCGAGGCCAACAAGGCAGGCCGGGCGCGCGAGCGTGCTGTTTTGTGCGGGGCAGCGCGAGGGAAGGAGAGGGGTGTGCCTCCGTTCCTCCCCCCTCCCCCTGCTCCGATCAGTCGGGCCCAGATTCTGAGGCCTACAGGGCGGGTTCTAATACATATGATTTTCTGAGAACGTAGGATTTTAATGCATGATTAATGTATGCATAAATGTATGCACGAGCTCATTGTTGTTTTTAATGCTAGACCCTGCATTTTCAATACATGATCCGCACGCGGAGCATGTATCAAAAGCGGCACTGCAGGGCCAGTGCTGTTTCAACGTTTTCCAGTGCCCACGTGCTGGATGAGTCTGGCAGGCGGTGCCGGCGGTGCAGAGGGTCCTCGGCCAAAGGGAGCTTGAACAAGTGGCTGGCCTCCCCGTGTTTCCAGCTGGCTTCGGTGGACGATTCCCTCCGGGCGTTGCCCCCCGGTCGTGAGTTGCACATCGCGGGGGGGTGGGCCTGTCGTAGTCACGACCTCAGGTTTCACACCGTTGTGCATGTATGGTTCTGTTGTGCGTGCGGTGGCATGTTTTGTGTTCAGCAGCTTGTGGGGTTGGGTAAGTTGCGTAGTCATGCCCCCTCTGCTACTCAGATCACATACCTTGGCAGGCTTAGGCAAGGGCTATGGCCCAAGGTCTATAGCAAGGCCGAGCAGAGCAGGAGAGCGCTGAAGGGGCTCCCTGTGCAGTAAAGTAAGCGTGGTTGGACGATGTCCAGGGACTCACTCACTCACTCACTCACTCACTCACTCACTCACTCACTCACTCACTCACTCACTCACTCACTCACTCTCCTCCTTCTCCTCGTCCTCCTTCCCCCTCCTCTTCCGCCTCCTGAGGTTATCGGCCGTTGGCCAATTCAAGAGGCTCCGTGCCGAATGCACAGGCCGTTCGAGAGGCAAAGCGCAGGAGTAGAGGTCGAGGGTGAAGCGAGGGCTCCACCCCAGGATCCCAGGCATCGACCATCCAGGAGATATGTTCTCCTCTGGTGGCAGGGCGTTCGTTACTAACCGTCGTCCTGCACTTGCCTGCTTCTTTTATATATATATATATATATATATATATATATTAAGAAACCAAAAAACATGTGTTACATGTACTGTTTTACTGTTATTGTCATGTGTCGTCCTGCACGTGTCTGCCTTGGGGGGCCTGCGCGCCGGTTGGCGAGCAGCCGGGGTGAGAACCGGTGGCAGCATGCATCGGCAGCCCCGCCGGGCGGCAGCTGAGCAGGGAGTGCGCTGACGCCCGGGAGAGCCGAGGATGGCACTGCGACGACCTGCCGGAGAGTGGGCAGAGACGCAGGACCGCAGACATGGCTGAGATCGAGTGGCAACGTCTTCGCCCCATCACAGGGGGCGTGGCAACGCGGACGCTGCCATCCGTGACGGCACGAAGCAGGGCAAGCGACGTGCGCCTGCACAGACATAGCTGGCAAACTAAAGTACCGAGCCCGCACTCGAGCAGAGCCTCCCCACGGAGCCTGCAGCAGAAACACAATTTGAGTTGCGGGGGCTGCCATGCTTGCACTTGCTTTTTAGCTCGCCCGACTGCGGCAGAATCGTCCTTGCCAAGTGCATGCGTAAAGGTTTGTTTAGCCGGAACTTGTTTAGCCTGAGGATCCTGGTCCGAACGGGCTCCCCCGCTCAGAAACTCAAGTAGCCCTCCCGGCCGCCCCAGGCGGACCGCAGCCTCGCCTCCGCCCCGCCGCCAACCCTGTTGCCGTAAAGGTACAGCTCCTTCAGGCCGGGCGCCGAAGGCAGTGCCCTCGCCATGGCCTCAGCGCCCACGTCGCCCAGGGCGCTGTTGCCCAGGTTCAAGAGCTCCATCGTGGGCACGGAGCACAAAGCACCCGCAAGGGCCTCGGCGCCCGCGTCGCCCAGGCCGTTGTCGGCCAGGACCAGGGTCCGCAGGTCGGGCATGGAGGGCAGCGCCCCCGCCAGGGCCGCGGCGCCCGCGGCGCCCAGGCCGTTGCTGTTCAGGCGCAGGGCCCGCAGGGCGGGCGCGGAGGGCAGCGCCCCCGCCAGGGCCTGGGCGCCCGCGTCGCCCAGGCCGTTGCTGAACAGGCCGAGCGTCCGCAGGGAGGGCATGGAGGGCAGCGCCCCCGCCAGGGCCTCGGCACCCGCGGGGCCGAGGGCGTTCTCGGCCAGGTCCAGCAGCTGCAGTGCGGGCGTGGAGCGCAGCACCGCAGCCAAGGCCTCGGCGCCCACGTCGCCCAGGCCGTTGCCGCTCAAGCGGAGCTCCCGCAGGTTGGGCGTGGAGTGCAGCGCCCCCGCCAGGGCCTTGGCGCCCGAGTCGCCCAGGGTGTTCCCGTCCAGGTCCAGCTGCTGCAAGCTGGGCATGGACGGCAGCGCACCTGCAAGTGCCTCGGCGCCCGCGTCGCTCAGGGCGTTGTCGCTCAGGTATAGCTTCTGCAAGGCGGGCATGCAGGGCAATGCGGTTGCCAGGGCCTCGGCACCCGCGTCGCCAATTTTGCAATTCATCAGGTCCAGCCACTCCAGGCGGGCGCACAGCCGCAGGCAGCCAGCGAGCCCCGCCGCCTGCTCGGGTGTCGGGGGCGGCATCCCGTCGAAGTCCAGCTTCGTCACGCCGCCCAGCTGCGCGCAGCTCATCCGGCGGAAGAGCGCTTTCACCGCCTCCCGGTCGGCGCCGTTGGTAAAAGACCTGTCTTCGATGAGTTGGTCGAACTGGTCTGGGCCTACTGGCCACCCCCTGCCGGCCTTCGTCGCCCCCGACCGCTTCCCCAGATCGGCCACGGCGGGCCACTTCGCGTCATGGCGAAAGACCTGCTTGATCTGCTCCGCGGAGCAACGCTCGTACGTTGTCCAGCCTGACTTATCGTACCCGCACTCACGTGCGCTGCCCCGCTCTCGGGGATGCTGCGTCAGCAAGAAGACGGTGGTGGCCTGGTGGGCGTACCACAGGTCCATCGTCTCGTGCAAGGCATGCTTGAACGCCGCCTTCTCAGCAGGGGTGCGCTTGGCCTCGTCCGCGGCCTCCTGGGCCTCCTTCTCACATTTGCCCTCCCGCAGGGCGGCGTTCTTCGCCTCCTCTGCCCTGGCAGGGTCGCCCTGCGGCAGCGAAAGCCAGTCCCAGAACACGCCCATCTCGCTGAATCCCTGGAAGGTGCCCGACGGTTGGGAGTACTTGCCGCGCTCTTCTTCCAGCGTCTCGATGACCAGGTTCAGCTGAAGCCCCTTGGGGTCGGGGTGCTCTCGCGCATCCCAGCAGAACGAGATCGTGATGATCGGCGCCGCTCCGTCCCCCCCTCCCTGCCCGCCCTCCTCCCAGACGGCCCTGAGCTCCTCCGAGGACACGAACGCCTCCTCGGGCAGCTCCTGGCGCCTGGGCAGGGGAGCGCCGCGCTGCCGCAGCAGCCACGACATGCGGACCAGACGCACCGGGTGGCAGCCTCCCACGGTGAAAGCCAGCGCATCGAACAGGATCTTGGCATCCGTGTACTTGTCCAAGCCCCGATGCTCCTCGCGCAGGCGCATGGCCTCCCGCGGCTCGAGCAGCCTCATGACAGCGACGCCTTCGACCTGCAGCGGCAGGAAGCGATCGCCGACCCTGACCCAGCCGCCCGCGTCCTCGGCGCCCTCCACGACGCTGTTCCACACGGCGCACCGTTTCCCGTCCTTGTCCTGCATGTTCCTGCTCCTCCTGTAGCCGAGCCCCCCGGTGTTGGCACCGAGCGCGCTGTTGTCGACCAGGTACGCGCCTGCAGGCTCTGCCCGCACGGCGCTGTGGCGCAGCTCGGCCAGCTCCCGCTCGATCCTCTCCATCATCGCTTGGTGGCAGACGGCCACTTCGTGGAGGGCGCGCCTGTGGTCGCGCAGCGCATCCCACGGCTCGCCGCGCAGCGGCGCCTCGCCGGCAGCTGCCCTGGGCTGCCCGCGCCTGCTGCTGCTACCGCTGCTGCTGTTGGGTCGGGCATGCCCCCCTGCGGGCGGATTCTGGACGAAAAAGCAGAATACCCCAAAGCTCCTCAACAAATACCTCCAAAAGCACTAAGAGCATCGCCCCTGGACTAGTTGTTTGACCATTTCTGAAGCTTTGTCCTGTAGACCCAGACATGCGACGTCCTGATTTTTCAGGACCGCGTCCCCGCCGACCCACTCCCCGGGACCGGTTCTCCGTCCCGAGTCGTTTTTTGACGGTCGTCCCGGGGGCGAGGGCCCCCCGGGGCCGAACATTGCCAAAAATCTCCAGCCCTGATTTTTGTTGTTCTTCCCCGACGCGACCATGCCTGGGGAGGGACAGGCCTGACTCGGGATCCGCCCTACTTTTGGGAAACTCGCAAGTAGGGCTTGGAATTTGCTCCTTACTCTTCAGGCCCCGCTGAAGCCAATTTCCGCCCTACCTTTCTGTTGCTGTGTCCGGCCTACTTCTGTGGATCTCCGCCCTTCTTTATGTTGGGTGCAGACCTTTCCGCCCTACTGTTCGGCTGCTTATAGGTGGATTTCCGACGCAATTCTAAGTTGGGGAAAAAGCCAAAGTAGGGCGGATCTGGAGTCAGGGAGGCCCGACTTCCTGCTGCCGCCCAGGGCGGTGTGCGGGCGCGCGCCTGCGTCCGCCGAGGCGCGCGAGGCCGCCGGGCGGCCGGCGCCGGCATCTGCAGGCTCGGCCCTGACTCCAGATCCGCCCTACTTGGGCTGTTTTTCCAACGTAAAATTGCATCGAAAATCCACCTATAAGAAGCCGAGCAAGTAGGGCGGAAATTTCTGCACCCAACATAATTAGAATAGGGCGGAAATCCACAGAAGTAGGGCGGAAACCGCAACAGAACAGTGGGGCGGAAATTGGCATCAGCGGGGCCTGAAAAGTAAGGCGGAAATTCCAAGCCCTGCTTACGAATTTCCCCAAAGTAGGGCGGATCCGGAATCAGGGATGCCTGGGGAGGGACACGCCCGACTTCCTGCTGCCGCCCTGGGCGGTGTGCGGGCGCGCGCCCGCGTCCACCGCGGCGCGCGAGGCCGCCGGGCGGCCCGCGCCGGCATCTCGGGTCGGGCGCGAAAGGGGGGGGGGGATAGCAAAGGGGGGGGTTCGAGAATCAGCCCACGGAGCTGACTTTCCCGGCGCCTCCCGGCGCCGGGAGGCGCCCAAGGGGCCCCTCGGTGAGGCCGAAACCCTCCTCCTCCTCCTCCTCCTCCTCCTCCTCCTCCTCCTCCCCCTCCTCCTCCTCCCCCTCCTCCTCCCCCCCTTTCCCAATATCCCCCCTTTCGCCCGGCCCGGGCCTCTGCAGGCTCGGGGCCGGCGGGCGGCGCCCGGCCGGGCTGCGGGGCCGCTGCTGCTGCCGAGCCGCTGGGCGCCCCTCCCGCGGGCGCCGGGAGCGCCGCGCCGCGGCGCAGCCCCGCCAGCTCCCCGTCGATCCTATAGGAGGAGGACCCAGACATGATCGCGTCGTTGTCTTTTTGGGGGGTGGGGGGGGGGCATTTTTCTATATATATATATATATATATGTATATATATATATATGTATGCATGCATGCATGCATGCATGCATGCATGATGTATGTATGCATGTATACGTATGTACGTATGTATGTATGTATGTATGTACGTATTGTAGGTAGGTACGTATGTATGTATGTATGTATGTATGTATGCATGTATGTATGTATGTATGTATGTATGTATGTATGTATGTATGTATGTATGTATGTATGTATGTATGTATGTATGTATGTATGTATGTATGTATGTATGTATGTATGTATGTATGTATGTATGCATGTATGTCTGTATGTATGTATGTATATATTTATATGTCTGTATATATATATAACAAAAAGAAAACAACGGGAGGTTTGGGGCCATTTTCGGCCCCGGGGGGCCCTCGCCGGGCCTCGGGACCGTCAAGAAACGACTCGGGACGGAAAACCGGTCCCGGGGAAAGGGTCGGGACTTGCGGGGGCGCGGCCCTGAAAAAATCGGGACGTCGCATGTCTGGGGAGAAGCCACATGAGCACCCCCTTCTGAGCGCGCCAGGGGCGGCGCCAGAGGCGCCGCCGGGGGGCCCCAGGCGCGGATCCACAAGAGATCCGCGCGGAGCGCCACTTCATGTGGCTTTTCTACTTCGAGGTCCTCTCCGCCATCGCCTTGTGGCACGCCGCCACTGCGCGCAGGGCCCGCCGGTGCTCGCGCAGCGCCTCCCCGCCTCCCGACCGCCCGCGCAGCGGCGCGCCGCCAGCGCTCGCCCCCCGAGGGGGCTGCCGCTCGAGCTGCCCGCGGCCGCCGCCGAGTGCGTCGAGCGGGGCGGGCGTGGCCACGGGGCCACTTCGAGCGGCCCGGCGCCCAGCCTCTGCGGGGAGCCGAGGTGCCGAGGCTGCTGCTCCCCGGACCCAGACATGCTCGCGTCGTAAAAAAGATCGAGGCGTTTCCTCGTGTTCGGCCCCGGGGGGCCTTCGCGGGCCTCGGGACCCTCCAAAACGATTCAGGACGAAAAGCCGGTCCCGTGGAAAAGTCACCTCTCCCAGTGTCTAGGATCGTCGCAGGAGCGTTTTTTCTGAAACTTTTGTTTCACTGGGGTCGGGGCTTCCGTCGACGCTGCGGGCAGTTTGCGCGGCTCGCAACATAGCAACGCCATTCAGCGCGCGCGGGGGCGCACGCGGGCACTCAGAAGCGCGCGGCACTCGAAGTCCCGACCTTTTCAAAAGGTCGGGACTTCCAAGGACGCCGTCCTGAAAAAATCAGGACGTCGCATGCCTGGGGATGCTGCCCGGCATTTCGAGGCGACTCCAGCCGTGGCGGCGAGGGCCACCCGGTAGGCCCAAGAAGGCGAGCACGAGCGAAGGGTAGCAGCATTGGTCCATCGCTCCCTCCTCCCCAGGCCCCCGACGTCGTGATTTTTTTTGACAACGTCGACCCCCAGAGGTCTGGACTCCTTCCCCGGAACCGGTTTTGCATCCTGAGTCGTTTTTTGACGGCCCCGAGGCCCGGTAAGGGCCCCCGGAGGCCGAAAATAAGGAAAAACCTTCCGTCGTGATTTTTTCACAGCGCGAGGGGGTCTGGGTCTGAGCCTCGCGGTAGGCCGCGCCCAGCACGGCCGAGGCGGCCCTGGAGCGGCCAGTCACAGGTCCGTCGTCGCCTCTGGGGCTCCCCGTGGCGCGCTCCCGCGGCACCGAGGCCATAGCGTGGGGCGCGGGGGGAGACGGCGTCGCCCTGGGCAGAGCGTCTGTCTGGAGCCGATAGCTCAAATCAGGTTTGGGGAGGAGGAGGGGGGGGAGGAGGAGGAGGAGGAGGAGGAGGAGGAGGAGGAGGAGGAGGAGGAGGAGGAGGAGGAGGAGGAGGAGGAGGAGGAGGATGGGCAGTGTAGGAGAAGCTGGACTAGGAGAGGCAC